CACCAGCAGTCCACTCCCCGGAACCCAGCAGCCACCCCGGCCAGGGGGCCACCCACAGGAACCAAGAGCCTGTTTCCCCTCCACCACTACTCTAACCCAAAACCCTAACTGTCTATATGCAAACCTTGGGGGGTGGGCACAGGCACAGGAGGCGAGAGTGGTGCCATCCGGCCACCTATAGCCATGAGTGCCCACCATAAGTTCCTATCTATGAATGTCATGAAAATGTTATGAGTGAATGTCTAAGATGTACAATAAAATTTGGGGCCCAGGTGGTTATGGCAAATACAAGTGTAATATTGTTGCTCTTATAACACAACTGTGCCCCAAAAAAACCCTACATGGGTGAAGTTGAAAGTGAAGAGGATGGAGGTGTGCGGTGAGGGATGGGGAGAAGTAAGCTCTCCCGTTCCCCGAAACCCACCCAGGAAGAGCAGCCCAAATACCTCTCCCTCCAGGCAAACCACCAAGCCCACGGAACCCCAGACCATGGACTAGCTTCAGACTGAACAAACTCATCATTAACCTTGTAGTTTCCTGCGTGGTTCTCACAAGTTTAGTGCTGAGAGCGGGAACAAACCCAGAACAACAAAGCAGAGAGATAGATGGTTGTAGCAAAATCAAAGACATTCATGCCAAAAAATAAAGACATTGTGTAAATATTTATAAAATGAGACAGCAAATTTATAAATAAATAAACTTAATAAATAAATGTGCTTTAATTCCCTTTTCTGTTTTCATTTAGGCTCTATTATAAGAATGTCCACCGCATTTCAGTGTCAACAAAGTTATATGTAACAGATTCGGATCACCTAATTGAATTTTTAAGTGTTTCACAAGTGGTTATTTTAAATTTATTGTACACCTGTCTTAAAATGTGAGGGATACTGGAGGCAGTTTGGGATGTGGCTCACAGTGGGCACTTTAAAATTTCCTTTATTTTCAAATCTAACACTTGACAGATCAGAAAGATGAGCATGAAAGACCTTTCAATATATTGTTATAAATTATATTTACAATAGTAACTGAAAAACAGACAGAATTTTTTGTTAATATTTAACATTTTTATTTTAACTTCTTAAGCCCCAAGGGGTTTTCTTGATGTTTTTGCTCAAAATACCATGCCAAAATGTAAATGAGTGTAGCTCAGAATTTACAAACTCTACTTAAAAATCTAAGTATATAAAAAAACAGGCTAACTTTTGGGAGATTGCATCAGAAATGTAAGTATTAAAACAGCTGCTGTGGTTTTAGAGATATTAAGGATGGAACATAAATTTAGTTTTTTTTTTCACTCTCACCCGAATAATTTTTGTATTAGATAGTATATAACCCATTTAAAACCATAATGAATCAGGCCAAAAACTCTTAGAAACCATAAATCCACTTGTGGATGTTACCTGTGCAAAGATTTATGCAGCTAAAACGAACTGGAGCAAAGTTACAGAGGTTTTAGTAAAGAATTAATTTTGATTTTTGTCATTCTGCACAGGACAGACCATGTTGGTACCATTAATAAATGTTAAGAAATCTGAAGTTTTTAATTGCAAAAGTTATTTATTTTTTCTTACCTGCCTGAAAAGACTTGTTACTGAATGTTTGTTATTTTGAAAAGTTATCTAAACATTTAATTGTCACCATATATATTATATAAAAATAATGATAAATTACATTTAACTTCATTGGACCATATTCACTCAAAACAAGTAAAAAAAACTTTCAACACACTTTATAACCCAGGTATCTATTTTGACTTGCTTTATAAAAATAATGTCAAAAAATTTCCTTTGCAGATTTGCTTGTATGTATTTACAGATTTGCAATGAAGACATTTTGTATAGTTTGTTTACTTTCTGATTCAACTGCTTAACGTTTGAACTGTGTTTGGTGGATGTAAAAATACTTTATGAGATTTTAGCCAAGATTCCTATGTTTATTATGATACCAAACATGTCCAGGTTCAACTGACAAATGTTAAGTTAGAAGAAGTTAAAATAAACAGAAGAAAACCATCCAACTTTCTGAGGCCCCCCTAGCGCCCCCTGGCGGCCCCCACTTTGGGAACCCCTGGCCTAGAAAATATGCTTTGTTTGGGGAGGAGGTGTGAATGCATAATCAAACTCTAAGGGGGACCAAAAAAAAAAAAAAAAAAAAAAAAAGCAAACTCTTGTCTGCTTACAAATGTAGATCTCGGTTCAGTTGAAGTGACTTCTGGCACAGTTTGAATGCATGTGGACAAGAGACTGCTCCAAAAGCAGGCAGCAGACTGCAAAGGTTTTCATGTTGTTTCCTTCAGTGGTTCTTGGTGCCGCACCACCACGGGTGAAGAGGTAAACATGTTGCGCAAAGGGTTTGGTTCGTTTGACAATGAAACAAAAATGTAAACAAATGTTGCAATTTTGGTCCCTACTTGAACTGAATCTACTGGACTGTCAGGTGTGAAAACACCTTTAGTATTCTTTGCAGGCGTTCTGTTTGAAAACAGAAAGCTTGCTAAGATCACTGGTAGTAATCCTCTGATCCGTATAACAGGGTAGATAGTACACAGCTTTGGTACAGCTTCAGCTTGGTTATTATGCTGTACTTCTGGAATCTTCAAACCTTGCTAAACATTATTCAGTTTTAACATCATTGCCTGATCCTCTATTATATCCGACAGTGCTGCCTTATAGGTAAATTCTTAAGTCATTGGTAAACCTTCTCTGTTCACCTGTACTGGAGAGGGTTTTGGGATGTTCAGTGCTGTGTTCTTCAAGCTGATCTATCTGCTGAGCCTATGTGTTAAGACAAAACTTGTTGTGTGATCTGGGAGAGTGACCACTGGCCTATAGATGAATGTAAACTGCAGAGTCCTGGCCTGATTAAGTTGTCCAGAGGACCTACATAATTTTTTTTCACTTTGAGAACACATCAAATGGACTTACATTATCAGTTTTGATTAAGAAAAACAAATTTGAATCAAACTGTGGTCTCAAAAATCTGAATCAAATTGAATTGTGAGATAGTAAAATATTCCCACTCCTACTGACCAGTTTGTTCATATTATTATAGTTTTAACCTTCCCATATGACTGTAAATAGTGGGAAAAGTATATTGGCTGCAAGGTCTGGATCTGCCTTGAATAATTCAGCATTGAGGTTGTCCTCTCTGGGGTCCTTTCTAGTTTTAAGGAACTTGATAGCTGTAATGATTTCTTTCTTCTCTGGTGGTGCAGTGTTAACACTTTATAGTCACTTTATAGTTATAGTCACAATTGATGTGAAAATGATGTGAAGGAATACACACAATCTGGTCCTGTGTGCATGTTGCTGTTTTTGTGATATGTTCTGCAGGAGCGCCAGATTGACACAGAGGAAAATACCCTGGTCAGGTTTGGGAGTGCAGCAGCCAAGGACGACTAGAGGATGCAAAGTTTACAATCCAGAGCAGGACGATGACACAACATCATCAAATAAATGATTCCGTTTTTTTGCCCAACATCATCTGGATCAGAGAATTCAGAGACACACAACTGACAAGATGATTGCATTAAAGTCATTGTAAAATGTGTCTCCTTACTACTGAATGAACATAAGCCAGATTTTCTTGTTTCTAAGTATGCAAGACGTTAAGGATTTACAAGGTACTAGTTTCTTGTTGAGTGTTTAATAAAGTGTTTGACAGTTTTAATGTTTTTAGATATTACATATGTGATTAAAATATTTGAGTTAAAAAAGGCCATACTTGGTTATCTTTTTATTCAAGGATATTTAAAAAAAACTTAGTGTTTCATTGTTTTTAGTTGACAAAGATACCATTGCATTAGCTTTATTACTTTTGATGTTCTTTTAACCCTTGTTCATTCATTGTGCAGTGACAGTGTTATGGAAGAAACAAATAAGTTAGTGGCCATTCGTAATTTTCTTTGTTTTATTACATTTAGTTGCTTAAAAGAAAATGCTGAACGACATGAACACTTTTAGTGTTCCAAACATCGGAGGGCAGTTGATGATAGGGCTTCTTAGATGTTTTATTATCTTTTTTAATGTAGTGTAGTATACGTAGTATTGTCATGATGAGGGGAGGTTTTGGACCCAGATGCAGATGGACACAAGGAGAGAACACTGAGGGACATGTTGGACCACAAGTGTGACCTAGACATCAGCTAAGAAGATAAACAATGCAGAACTAAGGAACTAACAGAAAGACACACTAGCAAACTTAAATTACACGCATCTGTCATGGAGACAAACAGGAACAGGTGTGGGAGGAGCTGTGGGGGGAAAAACACATAGGAACTTATCAACACTGACACATAAGGAAGTACAAACACAAGTAAAATGCAACTAACCCGGTTATCTTTAACAGTAGTAAGATAAACTTTGGGGTTAGATTAGGTTTGGTTGTAGCTGAAAATCATCCCCATCACTGAGTGTGTATATATGTCTGTGTGTATATACTGACAATATTTATGAATGTAGGCATGTATGTATATCTTTATATATGTATGGGTGTGTGTATATATTTATATATGCCCTCCATGTATTTATCCATTTATTTTTCAGGTGAGCGGACAGATGTTGGGTGTGTGGTCCTGTGTTTTGTTGGTGTATATTTAATATACTTCTAATCGCTAATTTCAATCTTTCTATCTTTCTAATCACTTCTCTTTCTGTTTTTCTCTCTGTCTCTATTTTCTCTTCACTTAAAAAAGTCACTGATGATGAAGAAATAAATAAACTAAATAAACTAATATTTGGTTTCGTTTTCTACTGAAGTGACACAGAAAAAAAGAAAAAAAAATCATCCCCATCACACACTCTGAGTTCTAACAGATCATGCAGGATTGTTTTTTAACATTTTGTTTTTGAAGGCAAATGATATGCATTACTTCAAGGCATGATATTTTAATGAAATAAAGTTTCAGATAGTAATCCTTTACTATTTCTTAAAATGTTAAAGAGCATATCTGTGCTCCATCTCAACTTTCCCGTTTTACTTTATTGCTGTTATTATTGCAGTTACTGGTTGATCATTTGACATACAAATTGCACTTTCATTTTGGTGACATGGATTTAAAGAAATAATCTAGGTTTTTTTTTAAGAAATCCTAAATTTCTTCATTTTAGAATATCAGTTTAAATGAAATCAGTTTAGCTGCACATTTATTACACCATTGTAAAATTTGGTTTTGCTCTGAAATCAACGTATGAGACATATCATTAAATTAACAAGTGTCATAGCATTAACAAACTCCAGATTTGAATGACACATAAGCTAATACATCCAGACCTAACTAACCATTAACATACTGACCAGACAGACATAATATATGCAAATAAATCTATTACAATCCACACGCTAGTTCAGTGCCAAAATGAAGTGCTTGCATGGGGCACTTTAGATGTGTTTTCAAATGAGATCTTTATAGCAATTTATCAGAGAAATAATGGTCACTTGAAAAATCTAATTACTTTTACATTATGCTGCAATCTCTAATAGTCCTATAATGCAAAGATGGCCTGGACCGAAATGAGTACCCATTCAAACTAAGGAGATAGATTCCCTCCAATATTTATTCAAATAATGGAAAGGGTTTTAATAATTGATTATTTGAACACATAATGTGCAGACAGTCTTTGTAGGCATTCAAAAGCCTCACGTAATCAGAATGACTGGCAAAAGGAAGTGGTAGTGAAGCAATCAGTTGATGCTGAATTAAAGATGACTAAAGTAGCTGACTGACTCTTGATTGTCTTGTTTTTTTGTGCTAAAGAGTTACATTAATTATAATATTTAAGCCTGCGTGATTGCTTCTTGGTGGGAAAGTACCGGACTTGCAAGGTTTGGTTTTATTGTAGCTACTAATTTGGATGCAGCAGCCTCATTTTCACATCTCTGAGGGTTCTTCTGTAATCGCAGTTTGAGTTAGTCAATCTTGTGATGTTCTGCTTATTTTTGATGCTTCCAGAGGTGATGAAACCAAGATTAAACCGTCAGTATGTGCCTGCTGTGATCGTTTTTTTCCAGGAGAGGGTACTGTTTCATTTAATCTCACTCCATCCTTTGTACTTCTGCAACAGAGAAACAAACCGAGGCATTAGAGACACATTCGGTAGAGGGAATGTGGCTAAAGGTTGGACTTGGAGCCAGGTGTCTTTCACAGCTCGTAAAGCCTTAGTGCATCATGAAATTGTCAGGAAACACAGACATACGGGATGCACTCAACTTCGTCTCTCAGCAAAGTAGAACTTTATTCACCTGTAATTAATCACCAGTGAGACATGTATAGATGGTAAGGTCACTGTACGCCCTCTGTAGTGCCTCTCTCTGCAATAGAACACCCCATCAAGTAGCACTGCACTGCTGCAGTTAAAGTTAAGATCAATGATGCGAGCAGTAGGATCATACATCACACTGCTGTCTCAGAGTTGTTTCACACTGCTGAACTAAACTGCACCAGCACAAATTACACCCACAGTTGTATTTCTCACTCTCGGTGTTTAAGCGGTGGGGATGTTTGACAGTTGCGAATCACGCAGACAGTGAAACCTTATGGTGCCCATCAACTATGTGTGTGTGTGTGTGTGTGTGTGTGTGGATGTGTGTGTGTGTGTGTGTGTGTGTG